CAATTCTCTAATAGAGCCTGGGATTTTCCCAGTTGGGAAGTTTCTGATTACAAATTCAAGTTCCTTACCAATTATTGGACTGTCCAAACCTCCCACTTCTCTGTGATCCAGTGCCGTGTAGGCATCCATTTATTCTGTTATCTGACTTTAAGATATTCTTTTATAAATTCTATTTACATAATTTTCAGTCATAATATCTCTGCTTTTGTTTTTTAATTTTTTACTTATCTTACAAATAAATTCTATAATATAAAATTTTATTTTAAGATTCAAAGCATACAAATTTGAATCTACATTAATGTGACTATAATGTGCCAAAGCATAATTTAGAAAGCATAAATTTCCAAAGAAACAGAAAATCAGACAAGTTACAATGTTTTATAAGATCATTTTTTAAAAGATAATGGCATCAGGAAATGCTTTGTGGATATGTCCTCACATTAAAAATATTCAGAAATAAAAAATGTTAAAACGTTCATCAGGATATTAAATGGAAAGTAACCCACCCTGGATCATCAGGATGAAGTTAGGAGTATAAATAATCCTATCTCATCTCAAAAAGCTTTACATACATCAAAAGTGTTCAAATACATATAGAAAAATCAAGTAAATATATACAAAACCTTGTATATTTTAGGTAGGCATTGAAGTACAGGTCAGTAATATACACTATTTGGTAGACTAAGGCATGAGCATTAAAAATGGAAAGTTTTTCTCTGCTTTGGAGAGTTTTCAGGTAAAGAATGGATAACAATCGGATGGTCTCACAATTTAAAGTTATTCCTTAAAAATGAAGGACTGGGAACACAGATCAGTTGTAGACAAAACATACACACCTGCAATTAGCATTTGGTGTAAACAGACTTACAAAGCTGAGCAGGGGTTTAAGTACTTGAAAAACTCAGTGGGAATAATGACACACACAGATTCAATGTTTATGAAAATGTATATAAATGGGGATGAAGAACGTGAAGACCATTATTTCTTTAATTTCCTGGGTAATTCTATTTATAGTTTAATCCTTCATAATCTTTCTGCAATTCACAAAAGTAAATTTAATATATTGACAATGTATTTACAAAAAAAAATCATTTTCTCTTCTGGCTATATACATTAAAACTTTTCAGTTAAATAAAAAAACGCATTTATATACAAAACCTTATTTTAAATTTATTTGAATGATCATTAAGAAACCTGGCATCAAAATTATTTCACAATAGTAATTCAAATAGGTGTGCCCTAAATTTTCATGCTATAATTACATAAATACATAAAGAAAATATTTTCTAATTAAAAATAAAATATCTCTTTCTTGTAATAATAAAAGTATCCCTGTAAGTTGTGAGTTAAATTTGGAGATCATACATGCCAACATTATATGGGATAACATACTCTCAAAAAGCATAGTTAGCTAAATTCCAGAGGCAATACCAGGTGCATGAAGAAAAATATTCCTTCTTAAACAAAGAAAACATAAGGAGAAAATTATATTGTCACCATTTTAATTTTATGTCTTTGTAATTACAGTGGAAACAGTCAAGTTGAGATGAGGGAGAACAACAAATCTTTAATAACAGAGTTCATCCTGGTGGGATTCACAGATCAACAAAACCTGAAGACCCTCTTGTTCCTGGTGTTCTTTGCCATCTATTTGATCACCATGGTGGGGAATCTCGGGCTGGTGGTCTTGATCTACATGGAACGCCGTCTTCACACACCCATGTACATCTTTTTGGGCAACCTGGCCCTCATGGATTCCTGCTGCTCCTGTGCCATCACGCCCAAGATGCTACAGAACTTCTTTTCTGTGGACAGAAAGATGTCTCTTTATGAATGCATGGCACAGTTCTATTTTTTTAGTCTTGCTGAAACTGCAGATTGCTTTTTTCTGGCAACAATGGCCTATGACCGCTATGTGGCCATATGCAATCCACTACAGTACCATACTATGATGTCCAAGAAAATATGCCTTCAGATGATCACAGGAACCTACATAGCAGGAAACCT